CACAGGAGCTGCGCGAATGGTTTGCCCGGCGCTGGAGCCGTGCTGCTGGTGCTGGAGGTTCGTCGGCTACTGAGGGTGCTGCTGTCGCGGGTCCCGGAGGTGCTCGTCCTGGGAGTACTGGAGCTGCTGGGCCTGCAGGTTCGACTGAAGCTGGTGCTGCTGAGGGTGTTGGCGCTGAGACTACCACTAGCGGTCCTGCTGGGGGTGCTCCTAGTGCTGCTGGAGGTTCTGGAGCTGCTGGAGGTGTTGCTGGGGGTTCTGGAGCTGCTAGAGGTGCTGCTCGAGGTGCTGGAGCTACTGGAGGTGCTACTGGAGCGGGTACTCCTGCTGGGGGTCTTGGTGCTGTCCCTGCTGTTTCTAGGCGTCGCCACGCGGCCTCGACCATACTTCGTTCCACTCCTGCAGCAGGTTCTTGGTCTTACACCTTCTACTGATCCTCCTCCTCCTCCCTTAGAGGGTCCACAGCCTGTCCAGTCACAGTCACAGTTACAGCCTGCCTCCCCTTTGCCTGCTCCTTCTCCCTACGCTAGTCCTACTGGAGGTCTTACTGAGCGTCGTGAGCCTGCGTCGCGTCCTGCGTCGCCTGTTCGTGCTACGCGCGCTAGTGGTCGCGGTTCGCGTCAGCGTCCTCCTCCTGTCCCTGGCACGCACCGGATGTCTCTGCGTCCGTCCACTGCTCCTCTGCGTGCCCCTTTGCCTTCTCCTCCTGCGTCCTCTCTTCCTGCTCTTGCCGACCCGGAGTCGGACTCTCTTCGTGCTGCCAGTCCTACTGTCACGCGTCTCCTTGCTACTGCCGTCACTGACCCTTCTTTCGAGTCTACTGCTGCGTCTGCCCTTGTTACTGAGCTCGTCGACTTTGCTGCTCGCTGTCGCCTAGACTACGCTGCGAGTCTTGTCGCTGAGTCTGAGTCTCTCTGTCCTCCGTCCGTCGGAGGTGAGTGTGCCCTTGGCACGGACGTCCTTGAGGATAGGCAGGAGGAGTTCCAGTGTCTGGCCGCTGCTTCACCTCATCTCGTGTCTGTACTGCTTACCCCTGAGGGAGACCCGGCTGCACTTGACATCCCGACTCCGCACTCTTACGCGGAGGCGATAGAGGGTCCCTACTCCTCTCAGTGGCAGGCAGCTATGGATGCAGAGATGGCTTCCTGGAAGTCCACAGGCACCTACGTTGACGCTATCCCCCCTCCTGGGGCGAACATCGCCAGTGGCATGTGGATCTTCAGGGTGAAGCGGCCGCCGGGTTCTCCGCCTGTCTTCAAGGCGCGTTACGTGGCTCGTGGCTTCAGTCAGCGGCAGGGAGTTGACTACTTTCAGACCTTCTCCCCTACCCCGAAGATGACCACTCTTCGGGTACTGCTGCACGTTGCTACTCACCGTGACTACGAGCTGCACTCTCTCGACTTCAGCACTGCTTTCTTGCAGGGCAGCCTGCACGAGGAGATCTGGCTGCGCCGCCCACGTGGCTTCTCTGGGTCGTTCCCTCCTGGTACCCAGTGGAGTCTCCGGCGTCCAGTCTACGGTCTCCGCCAGGCGCCACGTGAGTGGCACGACACACTGAGGACTACACTGGCGGCACTTGGGTTTGCTCCTTCTACTGCCGACCTGTCGCTGTTTCTACGCATTGACACCTCTCTGCCGCCGTTCTACATCCTCGTGTACGTCGACGACTTGGTCTTTGTCACAGCTGACACTGCTGGACTTGCCTACGTGAAGTCCGAGCTGCAGAAGAGACACACGTGCACAGACCTGGGTGAACTGCGCAGCTACCTTGGCTTGCAGATCACCCGGGACAGAGCACGCCGCACCATTACCCTGACTCAGTCACACATGGTGCAGCAGGTCCTTCAGCGCTTCGGCTTCACGAACTCCTCGCCTCAGCCCACTCCTCTGCCTACCGGTCACTCGCTCTCAGCTCTGCCTTCGGATGAGTCCGTAGAGCCGAGTGGCCAGTATCCACAGCTTGTGGGTTGCCTCATGTACCTGATGACCTGCACTCGACCAGACCTTGCATACCCCCTCAGCATTCTTGCATGCTATGTCGCTGCTGGCCGTCACCGCAAGGAGCACATGGATGCAGCTAAGAGGGTGTTGCGCTACTTGTGCAATACGTCGGGCATGGGGCTAGTGCTTGGAGGGCGAGTCCCAGTTGCGCTACTTGTGCAATACGTCGGGAATGGGCATCAGTGTCAGCTGTGCTCTGTCTACTCGCCACTCGCTCTCAGCTCTGCCTTCGGATGAGTCCGTAGAGTCGAGTGGCCCGTATCCAGAGCTTGTTGGCTGCCTCATGTACCTGATGACCTGCACACGACCTGACCTTGCATACCCTCTTAGCATTCTCGCACGCTATGTTGCTCTTGGGAGACATCGACCAGAGCACATGGCTGCAGCGAAGAGGGTGTTGCGCTACTTGTGCAGTACGTCGGGCATGGGGCTAGTGCTTGGAGGGCGGAGTCCAGTGGTCCTCACTGGGCACGCGGACGCCTCTTGGGCTGACGACCAGGCTACGCAGCGGTCGTCACAGGGTTACACTTTCAGTCTTGGTTCCGGCTCTGTTTCGTGGCGGGCTACCCGCTCGTTTTCTATTCTCGGCTCCAGTTGTGAGGCTGAGATCTACGCCGGGGCTATGGCTGCCCAGGAGCTTTGCTGGCTCACCTACCTGCTGACCGACCTTGGAGAGCCGCCTCGTTCTCCTCCAGTGCTGTACGTAGACAACAAGGCCATGCTGGCCTTGTGTCGAGAGCAGCGACTGGAGCACAGAACAAAGCACATTGCTCTCCGCTACTTTCTTGCTCGTGAGCTACAGCAGCGTGGACAGTTGCGGCTTGCGTACGTGGCCTCTGAGGCCAACACTGCTGATGTCTTCACCAAGGCACTTGCGCCTTGTGATCATCAGCGCTTCTGCACTCTGCTGGGTCTTGTGCCTGTCTTGCCTCACTTGCTCACTTCTTGACCTTGCTTGTACTGTCACATATATATACTCTTGCTCTTGCTTGCTTAGCCTTTTGTACATATATATATATATGTGATCTTGCATGTGAACTGGCCTTCTGGCCTTTGAACTTGTGCTCGGAATGTGTGGTGACTTTGTGATCCACCCTGAGCTTTGCTTTGCTTTGCTTGACTGGTCTTGTGACCCCTTGTTCTCCCCCACTTTGCCTATGGGGGTGTGTTAGAACATTATAGCTTATATATTTGTGTAGGCTATAGTGGGGTATCCCATAGGGGGTACAACCCAATCAGGGTTTCCTATATGTACTCACTTCATTCCTAGTTCATTCATTCTCGTTCTAGTTTCTTTCACAACAGGCGCGTTCGTCTGGGGGGTTATGGGCGCACTGATCCGCTACTGAAACAAGCCCTTTTATCCCAATGGTCTAGTGGTTGGGATTATGACATGGTATCAGAGCGGTCTCGGGTTCGATTCCCGGTGTATGCACATGTAGGCCGGTGCCGGTGTGCTTAGTCCTGGGCCTCCCAATGTGGGGGGGTGTCAGTAGATCTGCACTGTGGATGTCCGCGTCGAATGCAGATGCTGACTTGCCAAAATCTAGAAACGGCTTCTGCTGTCGATAATCAATTTCATCGAACAACGTCTCGGAAATTTTGTTTTCCCGACTGTGAAATCGGAACCTTATCAAATGAGTTTCCCTGTCCGACAGAAAGTAATGCAGTACTGTTTCAACAAAAATATGAAAGTGTAGGGGCAAAGTTTTTCAATGTGCTTTGTCGAAACGTTTAGCGGAATCCCTAAGTACTGTCGAATATCCCGGGAGCACCTCTTGTCGAACATCACATTTGAGTTTTGGTCGAAGAAAAAATATTTGCCGCGAATTTGAAATGTTGTCGAAGGCGAACACCCTTTTAATGCCAACTAGGGCTCTGTCGAAGACAAGAAATTGCAGAACTGAAGTATTAACGCCCTTCCTTCGAGAATTGACACATTTTCGACGGAAATACCCCTTCCGTCGAAGAACAAAATGTCTGCACATTTTCGACGGAAATACCCCTTCCGTCGAGAATCGTATATTATTTTAGGGCCTTAACTTGGCTGATACGAAACACTTTCTTTTTAATTCTACAATGGTATATCGAGTTGTCTCCCGTCGAGCTCCTTCAATTTCTACTGTTACGGCTGACATATATATTGGCAACTTCTGTGCTCAACCGCCGTGCGCGCCGAACCTCCAACTTCCTGTCCCCCTTTGCTCCGTCATGGGCAGCCCCTCGCTAGAAGCTCCCCGTTGGTGTCGGGCCCTGCCCCACTAATACGCGCTCACCTTATATCGAGCCTTACTGCACATTTGCTGTGGAATTTTCATTGTGCGCTCTCACAGGCAAAATAGCTGCTCTCTGCTTATTCCCAACGCCCATCCACATTAGGCGTCTAGGTCCATGTTAGCACCGTTCAGGCTCCTAGTATTTCTATACCGGTCATTGCTCGCCACTGGCATGTGACGCTACTTAACGGGAATAAGATAATTTTGCTGTGCTTTCTGGCACTTCTCACCTGAACGCTACAGTAAGCCAACGCTTTATGTTTTAGACCCCTTTGAGCCGCGCGTGTTCCCTCGCCCCACAAAACGGTGCCTCTGTTTCATGCGTTCCCTTTCCCGATCTTCACATCAATCCACGGTTCCTTCCTCTCCCGATTATTGACGTTTTCCGATTTCCGCCTATCGCAGAAAGAAAGAAATAAAAAACGTACTTACTGCCGACCACGGCCGAGCGAATACCTGGCAGCACGCGGTGGCATCGCAGCGCAGCACGTACATCGCAGCTAGCACCGTGCCTTCATCGTCGCAGTCAATTCCCGTACCGCCGCTGGTCAAAGCGAACGCTTTTGACGTTTTCCCTCCTCTCTATCCCTTGTTTCAAACCTTTATCTCTCGCCGTCTCGTGCAGCAGCAAGGGAATCAAGCGAGCGAGCGAACGAGAGAACGAGCGCGATCGAGCGAGCGAACGAGCGAGCGAATAAGCAATCGAAACGAGCGAGAGTCATCATGTTTTCGTCGTCGCAATCGACGGCGGTGCAGCTGGTGGATAAGGCGACGAGCGACCTGCTGGCGAGCCCTGATTGGACGCTCAACATGCAGCTGTGCGACCTGCTCAACGCTAGCTCCGGGTGAGCTACTTTATTCAAGACGTCTTAAACCCGTGCGTTCATGAGACCTCGTATCTGCTCAACGCCAGCTCTGGGTGATTGTATGACGCATTTAATTCGTGCGTTCATGAGAGCGCTCTGGGTTTGCGTATCTAGTATCGTATCTGGTGTCAAGAGTGGGTGTGTTGAAGGCTGAGTCTTCTCAAACATACTTGCTCCTTCTCTCTGTCATTGCGTCACCTGCGTGCCCGGCAGGCAAGTGAAGGACGTGGTGAGGGCAGTGAGGAAGCGCATCGGCAGCAAGAACAGGAAGACGCAGCTCCTCGCACTCACTGTACGTTCACCACTCGGGTGGCCTGCCTCGTAAATTGTAAACTGCTCTTGTTTTCCCGCTGCTCTCTCTCCTTTTCCATATGCTCACGCACGCCCATGGGTACGCCCCTGTTCTGTTCTCGTACCACAGCTATTCATGTCCCGTCCCTTGAATGAGTTGCTCCTGGAATCTCCCCATGTGCCCAATATCCACCCCCGTATGTTCCCATCTGCGCCCCTGTGCACCTGTGTGCACCGCTGTGCACCTGTGTGCACCGCTGTGCACCCATGCATGGCGCCACCTCATCCGTCCCTCAGCTGATCAAGAACTGCACGGCCTACGTGCACCGAGTGTCCACACACATACACACCCGCATCTGTTGATGCCCCTGGGCACCCCCAATTACCCCTCCATAACCCCGCATACCCCTGCATACGCCTGCACACCCCTGCGTGCCTCCACCCCTCAGCTTCTCGAGACGCTGATAAAGAACTGCACGGCCTATGTGCACCGCATAGTGGCAGAGAAAGACGTGCCGGCAGAGATGGCCAAGATCGCCCGCAAGAAGGTGCGTCGTGGGGGTCCGCTCCGCCCTGCTGCCCTGCTGCCCTGCTGCCCTGCTGCCCTGCCCTGCCCTGCCCTGCCCTGCCCTGCCCTGCCCTGCCCTGCCCTGCCCTGCCCTGCCGTGCTCTGATCTGCTCTGATCTGTTCTTCTTCCCGCATCCCCTCCCCATTATACCACCCCCTGCTCACCTCTGCTCCGTTCTTTGCCCATTCCCCTTCCTTTCCCCCATACCCCCCCCCCCCCCCCCCCCCCCCCCCCCCTGCTCCTTCCCCTCCCAGTGCGACGAGGAGGTGCACGTGCGCATATTAGAGCTGCTGGACGTGTGTCAGGAGGCGTGTGGATTGAGGCTCCTTTCTAACATATACTCACTCACTCCCATATCGTCGCCCGCCCCTTCCTTCTCTCTCCCCAGTGCGACGAGGAGGTGCGCATGCGCATACTGGAGCTGCTGGACGTGTGGCAGGAGGCGTTCGGAGGCGCAGGTGGACGGCCGGTGCAGTTCTTCCTGGCGTATGATGAGCTCAAGGTGGGGGGGAAGGGAGGGGAGGGAAAAGGGGGGGTGGCATGGGGGAGGGGACGGGGGCAGGGGGCAAGGGGCAGGGGACAGGGGGCGGGGAGCAAGAGGCAGGGGGCAGGGGTAGGGAGCAGGGGGCGGGGGGCAGGGGGCGGGAGGGGGGGGGGGGCAAGGGGCAAGGGTCAGGGCACACAGGCAGCGCACGTATGCTGTGCGGTAGTTGCCAGTTTGACATGAGCACAGGGCGTGTCACGTACTGCTTGCCTCGTTCAGGGAGAAGGTGCCTCGAGCTGAGCATTCCTGTGAAAGCTCACCCTGCCCTGCCCTATAGGACAGCTCACCGTACCTTATTGGATAGTCCACCCTGATCCAATGAAATGTCAACCCTGTGCCAAATGGTTGACATATTTACCCCACATACCCATGCCACACCCAACCAACTCCCCAGCCTCTTCTCTCCACCCCTTCTCCCCATCCCCACACACCCACCCACCCTCCCTCTTGTCGCAGCGCATGGGCATGCCCTTCCCTCCCCGTGACCCCAACCGAGTGGTACCGGTCTTCACCCCGCCCCAGACGCAACCCACAGCCGCGCCCTTCAGCCACGGCCCTCCCCAGATGTACCCTCCCCAGACGTACCCGCCCCAGACGTACACGACCCGGGGCTATGATGGGCGGCCTGTGGTGATGGGGTACCCTGTGGGGAGTGCGGGGGCAGGGGGCCCGGGGAGGGGGGAGGAGGAGATACCCCCGCATTTGCTGCAGGCAACAACTGCAACCACCATGACGTGAGAGCAGGGCTGCAGAGATCTGGGGTGGGGGTCTGGGCGGGGAGGGGGGGGGCTGGCTGGAGAGTGCGTATTGTTTGCCCGGCGGAGTTTATATTTTCTGCACAACTCCCCTCTTCCCACGTTCTTTGCATTCCTTTTTGCTGTACTAGCAGCAAGCTGCCAAGCTCTAGCGTGAGGCCGCATGCGAACGACTTATGCGTCGTTGTTTCATGATTAACCGTGGCAAACCGTTAAGAGACTGAACGTGCTCCTTTCCCACAGGACGGTGAACTGTTGAGTGCATCCATCAACCTCCATCCATGGACGTATTGCGGCGCCTGCACCTGAATTAACCGCACAAACCCAGCCCCTACCCTCTTGGTCCCCCCCACCACCATCCATCACAGGACTACTACCAGTGGTGACTGCTAGGGAGAATGCTGGCTCCACTGGTGGTAGTCAAGTCACTCACTGTGTGAGTATGTATGCTTCTGAGTCTGCTCTGCATAGACTCACTCACTCCCCCTTTCCTGTTTCTGTGGACACTCGCTGCATCTCTCCGTGTCTCTCACAGGGCGGCAGACCTGGTGAATGCGCGCAGCACAGTGGACCTGCTGGGGGAGATGCTCGCCACTGTGGACGCCAATAACCCCGCGGTACGTCCAACCATTGGGTTTGCTTGTGCAACCACCTACCACCACCACCCACCCACCCAGCATACTTTTGAGGCGACTCAAAAGTCACCTGGTGAGTGCGCGCAGCACAGTGGACCTGCTGGGGGAGATGCTCGCCACAGTGGACGCCAACAACCCTGCGGTACGTCCAATGGGCCTGCCGCCTGCTTGTGCACCCACCACCAACCACCGAGCATGCCCCATCAGCCCCCATTGCCTTCCCAAACTCCCTGTTGATCCGTTTGCTCCATCCTACATACTCACACATCTCTCGCCCCTCCAGTTACCGGTCTCCCACTGAGTCGTCCTGTTCAACATGGAAAACCTCTGTTTGTTGTTCGTTTCCTTCTGCCTCACCCTCGTGGAGAATCAAAGAGGGCACATTGTGTGCCTCTGGTATTCCACACCACCCGTGTCCATCCCCTTCCCGTGGTGCCTAACTGCCAGTGACGAAGTGATGTGTGATATGGTGATGCAGACTTGCTCAATAGAACTTCAGGCTGGAGCCCTGGTGTCAATACGTGGCAGCAACTTAGTAAGACACCTTGTGCTTGTGTGTGTGTGTGTGTGGGGGGGGGGGGGGGGGGGGGGGGGGGTGGGTGTGTGGGTGCGTGTGTGTGTGCGTGCGTGTGTGTATGTGTGTGTGCGTGCGTGCGCGCGCGCGCACGTGCGTGTGTGGGTGTGTGCGTGTGTGTGTACATGCGTGCGTGTGTGTGTGCGTGCGTGGGTGTGTGCGTGCATGCGCGCGCGCGCGTGCGCGCGCGTGTGTGTGTGTGTGTGTGTGTGTGTGTGTGTGTGTGTGGCAGGCGGCCAGTGACGAGGTGATAAGCGATCTGGTGGAGCAGACTCGCACGCTGCAGCAGCAGCTCACAGCCGTACTCAACACATCCACGTGAGTGCTCCATCCTTCCCCATCATTCCGCCACTCCACCCTCACCTTTCCCCATCTCTCAAATCCCTTTTCCACCATTTCCCCTTCCCTCCATCCTCGTAAATCTGTACCCCGCAGTGACGAGCAGTTCCCTTCCATTGCAGGGCCTGGCGGCTGGCGGCTGGCGCTGATTGATGCTATGCATGCAGAGCCATGTGGCCGTCACACCCCTGCTTTTGAGTCGACTCAAAAGTCACCTCTGCAGGGCCTGGCGGCTGGTGCTGATCGATGCCATGCAGAGCCATGTGCCCGTCACACCCCTGCTTTTTCCTCCTGTTTCCCCATTTTCACAAGTCCCTTTCCCTGATGTCACTTGCCTTCCGTGGGCCCAATACTGCATCCAGTGACGAGCAGTTTCTATTCCAGGGTCTGGCACTCAGCGACAACATGCACAAGTACCTCCACCGCCACAGCACCCTCCTCACCTCCTCCCCAATTCCCCTTCTGTCTGTCCTCATAAATCCCTGACCCTTTGCCCCCAACCTTGCAGCAACGAGCAGTTTCTCTTCCAGGGTCTCGCGCTGAACGACGACATGCAGAAGCACCTCCACCGCCACACTGCCCTCGTTACTGCTTCCTCTTCTCCCATCCTTTGCCAACGCCCTCTTCCTTCCTCCCTCCCCCCCATTTTCCCCCCAATACAGCGATGAGCAGTTTCTCTTCCAGGGCCTGGCGCTGAACGACGACATGCAGAAGCACCTGGACCGCCACGGCGCCCTGCTCGCCTCCTCGCTGCACCGCGGGGGAGACGGCCGCCACAGCGACAGCAGCAGCGGTGGCGCCTCTCCTCCCCGCCCAGGGGCCTACCAGTCATATCCTGGTCAGAACGAGGGTCAAGGCGGGGGTGGGGTGGTGAACCGCGGGCAGCAGTATGATGATTGGGCGGCGGGGGTGACTGCTGGGCTACCCTTGGCTCGGTTTGAGAGCGACCAGACGGAGGAGGATGGGGATGGAGGGCTGAGAAGGACTCACGGAGCACAGGCCTCTGCCTCTGCTGCCGCTGCTGCTGCTGCTGCTGCTGCTGCTGCTGCTGCAGGCCCATCCTCTTCCCAACCAGCACAGACACAGACCCCCTCAGCAAGTCAAGCAGGGCAGCCCGCGCAACAATCTCTGGCCGCAGCACGAGCTGCCGCTGCCGCCGCAGCAGCAGCACCTGCCACGGCCGTCCCTCCTCCCACCCAGGACCTGCTCAGCCTCGACCTTGTTTCAATCGCCCCCCCTCCCCAACCCCACCCCCCCACCTTCGCTTCCAATGCTCCTGCCGCCTCCTCTTCTCCCTTTGACTCGCCTTTTGATGAGCCGCCGTTCCAAGCCACTGCTGCCTCCGGCCCCTCTGGTGGTGCTGCTGCTCCGTATGCGTTCAACTCCTCCTTCCAGCGACCACAGTACCAGCAGCAGCCACAGCAAGGGTATGGCGGCGCAGGGGTGTATGGCGGCATGGGAGGAGGCATGGGAGGAGGCATGGGAGGAGGTATGGGCGGTGGGATGGGCGGGGGTATGGGAGGGGGCATGGGTGGTGCGTATGGGACGGGGACGGTTGTGCCAGGAGGCCCGAATCAACCCGCTTCATATGTTGTGCCCTGGGCTCGTGCTCCTCAAAGTGCCAGCCCCCAGCAACAGCAGAATAACCAGCAGCAGCAGCAGCAGCAGCAGCAGCAGCAGCAGCAGCAGCAGCAGCAGCAGCAGCAGCAGCAGCAGCAGCAGCAGCAGCAGCAGCAGAGTCCAGGGGGGGCTGCCTTGAGTCCGCAGCAGCAGGCAATGCTTTTCGGTGGTAACCCGCCCCCCATGAACCTGTCACAGCAGGGAGGAGCGCCCTCGGGTGGAGGGATGGGTACGGGCTTGAGCAATCATGGATCGAACCCCACTTACCTCTACCACCAACAGCAGCAGCAGCAGCAGCAGCAGAGGAGGCCCGGGGAAGTCTTGACAGGCCCTGCTCCTGATTACGTGCATGGGCAGGTGTTTAGAGGCACAGGGTGATTCTTTGGGACTGTTTAGTCGTTTGCTGGGCAATAGACCCTAGGGTCGAATTCTGCCCCAGAAATAATAGGGGTTGTCTATTATATGAGCTGGAATGCTGTAGATTTAGTGTAGTGTTGTGTTGGAGAACTGAGTAGGCCAGGCTAAAGTTTCAGAGCGACCAAGCAGTTCTACCGTACATCCATAGGCCATAGCCTTACTGTTGAGCCCTCCACAAATAACAGTAGGACATAGTACAGCCCCCAGAGTCTGAATGAACTTCCGCTCCGCATCAACCTAAACGCATTACATTGCCATTGTTGGGCTGAGAAAAACCCTTAGGATCTTTGCAGGACTGAACTCTGAGTAGGAACAATGTACCGTATGGCTCCGGATAGAAGCGCAGGCCTATGTTAAGCGCATGCGCTTGTATCTGGAGCAATGCGCTAATGGCCGATCCTCAATTATAAGCGCACCCCTTGGGAAATCGTGACTTATTATAAGCGCACCCTTTTAGTTAAAAAAAAAAAAAACATTTTTTTTTACCTACCTAGCCTACATGTTTTAAACTTTCCATTAAGTTAGACAATCACATACAAGGGTGGTCTCTGCTGTCCTGCACTACACACCTTTCAACCTGCCTAGTCTACCCTACTGCCTATTCTTCCTCCTCGTCCTACTCAGGCTCCGTGGAGTTGTTGCCCTAGAACCCATCTGCCTGGATGTCGTCGTCCACCTCCACCTCATGGGACAACTGGCTTCTCCTGGTGCGCCAACACCAGTTTGTCTTCGCTCCCATCAAGGGCGTTGCTGATGCCGCACGTGAGGAAGGCTTTCTTGATGAGGTCGGCGGGCACCGCCTTCCACGCCCGTGAAATCCACTTGAGCACCACCTCCGGAGGTGGTTTCTTGATGTTCCCTGCATCATACGGAGTGGGGCGGGGAAAACATGAGACAAGTAAACAGACATACAAGCTCAAGATTTGCAGACGGGAGCACATGTCGTCACTCACCTGCCGGGGTCAGGATGTTCATGCCGTCCTCCTCAAACCAATGTTGGTACTGCTGACGAATGCTTGCTTTGAAGCTCTTATTGATCGACACATCGAGGGGCTGCAGATCTGCCGTGCATCCCGCCGGAATGATCGCAGGCACGATGTTGAGCGCCGCGAATCTCTCCTTGACTTCTGGTGTCAGGTGACCGCGATAGGAGTCGAGCACCAGCATGGCGCTACGACTCTGCAGGCCAAATTTCGGCTTCAGGAACGGCACCACGCCCGTGTTGAGCCACTCGATGACGCCAGCGGCCTCCATCCACCCATTCGCTTGGCAGCCGACCACAACATCTGCACGCAAGGAAAAAGAAACGGTGGACGACTCTGGTAGTAACGGGAATAAACACGCGCGACGATCACTTACCGTTTGGGAAGTCACCCTTGGGGAGTGTCTTGTGCTTGAAAAACACCCACGGCTTCAGCTTCTCGCCCGTCGCCGTGCACGCAAGCATGACGGTCACTCTCTCCTTCTGGTACCCACCGCTGCGGATGGGCACCGACCTCACGCCCGTCTGCTCCACGGTGGTCGTCGCCGGCATCTCCAACCACAGCGGCGTCTGGTCGGCGTTGATGAGGTAGCGGTTGTCAATGTCGTATTCGTTACGGGCGTCACGTACGTACTGCAAAAAATCCTTGCACTGCTCAGCCACGTCTGCGGAACAGGGAGATTAGTATATATAGTAAACCAAATTAGTATCATGCACAGGAGACATGCGAAAAAGAAACGAAGCGTAATCGGGATAAATCAAAATCAGTAGTAAACGACCCACTTACACTCCTGTTTTTTCTGAGCCACCTTTGTTTTCATACGCACGCTGAGGTTCCACCGCCTGCGGAACTGCTCCGTCCACCGCTGACTGCCTTTCCACTTGACGTCCGGGTATAGAACCTTCATCACTTCTTTGGACCACTCTTGCAGCCAGCTGACCGAAACCGCAACTCCGCAGCGTTGCCAGTCGAGGAGTTGCGCGTACACCTTTAACTCCATGGGGCGGTACCAAGACGACCTCCCGCGCCCGTGAAGTCGCATCTGTGCTCCGTGTGCAGCCTTGAGCGCCTCCGCTTGGGCTTTCCATTCTGTCAGACATTTTCGGTGTATGCCTGACTCCCGCGCCACTTCGCTCACCGAAGCCGCAAGCTCGAGCCGCACGAGCCACCTCAACTTCTCCTGGGCGGTGTAGGACTGCCACTTATGTTGATTCTGCTTGTGCCTGGGGGAGGGGGGGCGGGCATCTCGATTCTCGGTAGACGGGTGGGGGCGTTTTTTGTTAAGGGGCAGATACGTCGGTACCGGCATCTTCGCGCGTGGTGCGTCGCGCCACCAGGACTCCACACCATCCTCGTCCTCGGCAGTTGTGTCACGGTCAGGGAACACAGTCTTCCTCGTCGCCCGCTGCACCGTCGCCACCAGCTTCACCGTCGCCTCCAGCTTTGCCGGCGCCGCTGTCATGTTTGTCGGCAGCCACAACATCGTCGGCGCCCACAGCCGACTCATCCCACGTGCAGGCATTCTGGTTGTCCCCACCGTGGTGCAGTCGTTGGAGCTTGGATGCATGCATCGGGGGCCTTGGGTGTGTCCGCTTCAGCCAAACATTCGTCGAACGTGGCTGGTAAATACAGTTGGAGCACGGGCCGTTGGTGAGCACCTGCCGTAGTAAAAGCAGGCGGATTCGGAGGAGCGGGAGGTGCGGGAGGAGCGGGTGGAGCAGGGGGTGCAGGGGGAGCAGGAGGAGCAGGGGGTGCAGGGGGATCCGGTGGCACTGGAGGCGCTGGTGGCTCACGGGTGTACCACCCGTCCTCGGTAAGTCGCCATGGGCGGCGTGGTTTCTTCTAGAAGAGGATGTGAGTCCCACTAAATTCCGCCATGGCTTCGCCTGCCAGGCGGGCTAGACAGGAAACTGAATGAAAAAAATTAGAGACGAGAGTGAAGAAATGGGCAACGACGGGGACCCCTGCTGCGTGGCGGCTCGGGTTCCTCGTCGATGACAGGCAGGAAACCCCCGCCTACTCCCGTAGAGGCGCCTGCGTGGCAGCATCTACGCTGCGCTGGCAGGGAATCTTGCCGAACCTTCGAGATGGTTCTGCCCGAATGCACATGCCACGCAGCGCATGCGGCTCTGATTGGGCTGCACGACAACATCCTCGTCACGGCTGTCACATTCGGTGTTTCCAGACAACATTGTGCGGTGGGAAACCGAACCGCTGCGGTTTCTGCCTGAAAACCATGCACGATCCCACTTGGTGCATGGTCGGTTGAACTCGCCTTATTGAGAGCTTCACAATGGTGTGTTCATAATTGATTTTCATTTTATCCTTTATACAAGCGCATGCGCTTATAAATCTGACTCAATTATAAGCGCACCCCCCCAAAAAACAATGTTTTATTATAAGCGCAGGTGCGCTTCTATCCGGGGTATTACGGTAATAGCGGAAGCGTTTAACGATAAGTCTGTGAACCACCTTGCGCTGGTATGTGAGGGCAAAGTAGATTGATTAAAACAAGAGGATAAAAGGTTTTTATAGCATGTACAATGAATATGAAGAGATACGGCTAATAACTGTTTTACTGTTGCTGTTACGGTTCGATACAGTGACGACTCGGGCAACCGCTGAACAATGAGTCAGCTGTTTGTCCTTGCTGTCGCGCTGTACTTGTCAGGTCAAAGGTCGCTGATTTTTTACTTTCGTGTAACCTCCAGCGGTTTCATCACTTCTCAACCTCCAAGTGTTGACTCGCTGATGCTTCACTGTGTTTTGCTTCATTTACGACTTAGTGCTTCGACACGACAGAGGCGCTTAAATCACTTGTTTCCAACACTCCCCTTTGCTTCTGGAGTGTCGATGCTGGTGACGTGGCTTTGTCCAGTCAGCAGTATGCAGTACTCGAACTTCTGCTTTCCGAGCTTCTTGGTCAAGTAATCAGCTGCCATCTCAGACGTGGGGCAGTAAGACAGCTCAAGTCTGCCCTTCTCGATCTCGTCCTTCACGAAGAAATATTGCACGGTGATATGCTTTGTCCTGTTTGCGAATCCGTTTTTGTTGGCGATGCGAATTGCAGACTGGTTGTCGCAGAACAGAGAGAAGCTGGGAAACTGGGCCAGTTTCTCCTCTTCCAGCAGTTCGCGAAGGTAAAGTCCTTCCTTGGTGGCTGAGCAGAGTGCAATATATTCTGCTTCAGCTGAGGAGAGAGCAGTTGGTTCCTGCTTGCTCGACTGCCATGAGATGGGCCCGATAGGCTCGAGTCGGTAGATATAGCCGGTGCGCGAGCACCTGTTGTCAGAGTCGCCGGCGTGATCAACGTCAACGTAGCCGATTAGTTTAGGCGCCGTAGTTCTGGTCTTGTAGTAAGTTAGTCCGATCGTCAAGGTGCTAACGAGGTAGTGTAGTGCGCGGTCGAGCTCCGCCATGTGCTCTGCTTCAGGTTTCTTGAGGTAGGTAGCGAGTTGGCTTGCGGAGTACGAGAGATCTGGTCGGCAAGTGACGGCTGCGAAGAGCAGACATCCTAGTTTTCGTTGGTAGTTGCGTATGCCAGCGAGTTTGAGTAGAGCGGAGCTTTCCTTGTGATTTCCGGTGGTGTAGCGGTATGGCGTGGAGATGGTGGTCGGGGAGAGTCCGAAGCGTTTGGCGATGGCGTCGGCGTATTTGGCGGCGTTGAGATAGATCGCGCCTTCCTCTTCCTGGATGTTGAGGCCGAGGTATTGCGTGACGGTCGATGACAATCTGAGAGTGAGGTCCTGCTGCAGCTCCCTTTCAAACCAAGTAGTGACGCTGTCAGTCGAGCCGATGTAGAGAAGATCGTCCACGTAGACGATGAGCAGAATGCAGTCGTCGCCTTTCGTGAGCCGGTACATGCCCTGGTCGTGCGGTAGTTGGCGGAATCCGATGCGGATAAGTCTAGCGTGTAGGTACTGTTGCCACAGTCTCGGGGCTTGTTTAATACCGTACAGGGACTTCAGCAGCTGAGAG